ATTGTCACGAGTCTCTACTTCCGATGTCAACTAACTGGGATGTTTCGAGTTTGCACACGTTGTTATGCAACGTACACTCGCGCTTCGTGCTTCCTACTTCGTCAAATGATTCGGCCCGAATTAGTTAGAACTCGATCGATTGCTCGGAATGGTCGTCAATGGGTCCCTTCTCTTTGCTCGTCTACCCTACAGCCACACGCACTGCGTGTGTTAACCCTGTCGAGGAGTCGAGTGGATTCCCCTAAGCATGATTTTCGCTCGGTAAAAGGGGTTGCCTCCCCATTTTTTAAATTGCTGAATGTTAGCATTTAAAAAATGTGGGTATCCTCTTCTTTTGCCGTCTACCAGCCTGGTGTAGCCATATCCTGCATTGCGGGAAACTTCGTGTTCCGGGCGAAGCACCTGAAATCATGTTTAGCGGGTCCAGGTTCGATACGAGATAGGATAATTATGCGCGAAAAAGAGCTGGTGAAATTTATTTTCCTCTATTCCTCAATCATTTCGTCTTCTTTCCGGTTCGGGCCTAATCTTTGCTCGTTGTATCGTTGCACTCCCGATCTGTTGGCTCAAAGTTAAGTCTCGTAAATGAAATGAGATTTTCGCTCGTACCGAAACCGGGAGTGTCGTTGAAAGTATATATATATATATATATATATATATATATATATATATATATATATATATTAAATATATACATCGCGCGACCAAATTTTTAATCCGAATACCGAAGTAGTGCGGGAGTGCCGTTTAGTATCGCGCGTAAAATAACGAAAATTGCGATATAAAAATATCGCTCGTGAGTGCGGGAGTGCCGTTGAAAGTATCGCGCGTCAATAACATGAGAGGAGGAGGAGGCCTGGGAGAGGCATCTTGCATCGGCGGAGCAACCTGATGGTGAATATTTATTATTTGTATATCAATTGTTATAAATCGTACGCATAATAATTCGATCTTATTATTTAAATGAATTAAAGAGAAAATTAGAGAGAAAGATTTTTATAAAAGTTATATAAAACTTTTTAAAAAACTTTCTTAAAAAACAGTTTTAAAATTTTATAAAAATTTTCCCCACACGTGTTTATCTCTGCTTATTATTTTACACATCGGATATAAAATTCCGCGCGATAAAAATTTTTTGAAATATTGATTGCATTTTGTGAGCATTAATATAAATGAATTTTATATTTGTATGTTACAGACAACGTAGCTTCGATAATTATAACTCCGCTGTTGCGCATCAGTGCCGGTGAGTGAGAAAAACTTTTATTTAACTTTAAGGTAACGGATTCGTAGAGATTGTAGATGTAGATTGTAGATTGTAGATTGTAGATTGTAGATTGTATATTGTAGATTGTGAATTGTAGAGTAAGTCCGTTGCCTTAAAATGGATGAGCTAGGATAGATTAAATTAAATAACTTTTAATAAATTTTTTCGAAATACTTTGCATCTATTGCGAAAATATATTGAAGTATTAATTTAAAAAAGAGAATCAAGAAAAGAAAATTTTTTTTGTAAAGACTTGAGTAGTTTATTAAATCAAGAGCACGCATTAGTAATTTTAACAATTTTATCAATTTTTGATACTACTTTATTCTTATAACGCGCACTTATTTCATTCTAATTTCTTATATCATAGCTCATCCATTGTAGAATTTGTTTGTAGATATTGTTTTTAAATTTTACTTTAACTTAAAATAAAGCCAAACGATTAATTAATTAAATAATTTGTAATATCATAAAAGTTATACACACACATGAATTTTATATTTTATTACAAAATGTAGTATATAGAAATTTGTAGTAATTTGGCTTTATTTGAGTTAAAATAAAGTTATATTCAAATATTTAAGAAACGATCGTAAAATCGAGCGATCGTTACGATGAGCGTGAAATATTTACGCTCATTTGCCGGGAATTAATCGGCAAAAGAAGGAGTATTTATCTCCTTTTTCGATCTCTGATTAGAGATCGAGCGAAAAAGTGGCCAGAATCAACGAAAAGTAAGTTCAACTGGTTTGAAGAAAAGCTTTACGTACAATAGTACGTAATGTCGGACATTTATTCACGCAGTTAGGGCATGCGGTTAGAGAACGTAATTAGGGCACGTAATTAAAATATACGTGATTAGAGATAGGCTTTCCTCGAATAATTTCACTTAATCGAGAAATAGGATTGTTAGGGCTATTAGGTGATTATTATGATTTTTTAATTTTCCTTTCAAAAAGTAGAGGATTGTTATTACTATTATGTGATTAATTTAGCTGATTTTATATTATGTATCTTTTAAGGAATCAGGAAATGCAGGTTTAAATATTATTAAGGAAAATTAATTAATAAATATTTCAATAATTATATTATTAATATTAAGAATTTTCTATGGATCAATATTTTTTGAGTGTTTTTTAAGAGAGTTTTTTTTCCCCACGTAAAAAAAAGGATTGTTAATTTATCTTGTATTACATTTCAAATTATATAATATTATATTTTACATTAACTTTTTGTATTAAATTCTGTATTGAAAGAAAATGAAAAATTTTGCCTTCTCGATAATATTCTCCATTTTAAGGAAGGCATTTGCCGGGTGAGGAGGTTTGAGTATTTTAATGAGCCTGAGAGCTATTCCGGCGGTAACATACACCGATATTCGTATAGACTTTTCTTATATTTAAGATAATTTTAAGTATGATCTTAAATATAAAAGTGAGTTATGAATACCGATCGTAGTTATTGATAGAGTTATCTATGCTGGACAAGTCGAAGGGGAAGTGTCAGACTAAGAGAAATACCAAAATTATATAAATATTTGTTATATTAATTATATTAATATTTTTAAATAAAATGAAAGAAAAAGGGACAATAATCGAGAAAAAGGCAACTACAGTGATTTGAATATCTATATTTGAGAACAAATGTCCATAGAAAGTATTTCTATGTATTCGTATGGACTCCATAGGAAGGAATGACAAATGATGATAATTTTTATAATTTTAATACAAAGGAATACAATAAACCATAATAATCCAAGAACTCGAAGAAGAGAATTTATTGGATAGAAATGCATAATGATTGAAAATAATTAGAAACTAAAAGACAGTGTGCAATCTATTTATTAATAATACTATTTTGTAATTATATTAAATTTTATAATTTAGTACATTATATTATATAAAATATTAAGCATAAAAATATTATGCTGGTAAGAAAATTATAATAAAAGTATACAAATAATGTTGACTATATTAGAATAGGACATATGAATTCTTTATATTTTATATAAAGGAAGAGATATTTAAGAGATATTTAAAATATTTTGCAACATCTATATTTTTCGAATCTTAATTAAAAGAACTTCAGAAGAATCAGTGATTACTTTAACAAATTCTATACATGTATTAATAATTACATTTTTAAATAATTAAAAAAAATGATTGATAAATATCAAAGATCATTTTACTGCTAATTAAAAAGATTTATAAAAATACGGTTAAAAAGGTTTTTATTCCACAACAGACATTTTGTTTTTTTGTAAATAAAAATATATAAATATGACATTGAATGTATAGAAAAATATTTATTTTATCTTTGAACATTATATTGGAAGATCACAGTATTTTTCGGGATTGAAGTCAAATTTTAATTTCTTACTTTGTGATACGACATAAATAGATATGAATCAATTAATTAAATATATATTATATTTAAATTTTTCAATGTTAACATATCTTTCAAAAAGAGATAATATATCTGTATTTATGTACACATAGAATATATATATATATATATGTAATTCCAGCGCGTGTATTTCATGTAATGTTTTAAATTAAATATATATACATATATATATATATATATATATATATATATATATATTTCTAAACATAACGTAGATATTTCAGAATAAAGTTGTAGCGTTATACTATATATACATATATATATATATATATATATATATATATATATATATATTATATGTGTGTGTGTTTATTTGTGTATGTGTAGAGAAAGAGAGAGAAAGGGAAAGAGACAGGACCACAAAATTTATTTAAAAAATTAAAATTAAAAATTTATTTATATTTTATACATATGCGTTTTGCTATACAGCACTGATGGCATTTCGTGTACATAGGCATTTCGTGTACTACAGGCATTTTTTACATAGCACGGAACAGAATCAGAAATTGTGCACATTTACATATGTTACTCTCTGAGAACTTTCGTGGACTTTGGCTTTATAGTTCATATCCACGTTTTTTAGATTAATCGGGCGTATCGCTTTCAGGGATCATCTAAAAGCGAGCCATGACACCTCTCAGTCTTCTCTCTGCAATCACAATGTATTTTCATGACTTTTTCTTTATCGATTGCTGGTACTATGTGTTGCTGGTGACTGCTAATTCTCTCCAGCAACGAACATTTCGTCAGTAATAAAGAGCGCTTCGATATGCTTATCGATTTATTCAAAACAAACATTTCAGAATTTAAATTAGTTACACTATATTTTTTAATAAATATCGAGTAAATCAAATAAAATTATTTAAAAAATTACAAAATATGAATCAACTCTTGTAAAACTCGGATAATGAAATTGAAAAGATAAGATGATGCAATAAAGGCTTCTTTCTAACTTTTTTTATTCTATTTCTGCTCACAATGTACACATGCAAATAGGATTTATCATATCTATAAGTGACAAATGCTGCCATGTGACGTATTTTTATCTTATCTTATTTTTATCTTATCTTATTTTATTTTTATTTTTTCTTTCTCTCGATATTTCCTCGAAATAATTTTAACGGTAATTAACTGCAATAATGCCGAGAAATTTAGTGTACTATTTATCGCGCATCTTTTTACAACTGGTATTTTTCGACGAAAAAATGTAAATATTTTTTTATCAGATATAATTATCTAGACAGGCCTAATCATTGTGATGCCGAATATGAGCAAATACGAATTCGTGCGCAGGCGCAAAAATAATGCCGACACAGACGACGCAAAGTGTTCCCCTCAGTCTTCTTGTAGTGGCCAGTTCGAGAAGAGCTGCCACGAGCTGTCAACGAGGGCGAACCGTCACGCACTTTCCATCCCGCGCTTGCGCCTTTCGAACACAGGAATTAACAGACGGTGGATCGCTAATTCACCCTCAGCATGTCGTATTGCACGCGTGTTCTTCGTGCACAGGTAAAGACGAGAGGAGACTCGAAGATCCACGAAAATCGCGAGAGATCCGAGATGGAACGCGTGAGCTCCGGAATGAGCCTCCTCTTTTTCAGAGGTCAATACTATTTGACCCCTGATGATTAACGCAGCCTTTACGAGCTATTGTGACAGTAACTCGAGACTCTTCGTAACCGGTGACGCGAGTGATTGACATTGACATTGTCCGGAGTGCGCGAGACGATCTTCCCGCGATCAGGGTCCCTCGTTGCTCCGATTTTTCGGAGTAATTTTTTCATGTGCGAGCTGGAAAATCGGCCATGGGAGAGAAAAGGCACGATAGACGCGCCGATGCTCCACGCGAACGAATTCGTCTCGAAATTCGTAAATTTGAGCGAATCCAAAAATGAGGAATCCTACAAGATGAGATATAAGATTACGTAATCACGTGCCAAACTGCGCATATATATCGCTCTCTTTTCGAGAACGTTATATTCAATGCGTATCATGTGGCGCAGGTGTGTGAGGAGCGCGAAATTTAAAGTCGGGCTTCAAGATGGTGGGGAGGAAGTCGTAAAGATAAAAAAAAATGTATGCTAAGGGGAAGAAAAATAGCGTGAAACTTATTGCACGTCGATGCGCCTGGCTGCGAAATATCGCGTTATTACTGTTACTGTGCATTGTCGAAGGTTATCGTTATTTATTATCCCAACGTATTCATCACACGGCTTATCTGTGACGAAAGAATATTTCAAGTGCATCAAATGTCAAGCATCTCGGGTCTAATTACGTAATTGTGATCAGAAATAAACAGCGTTGCGTAGCATATGAGACAAAAATTTTGGCTGGCACGTGCTAATCAATACGATTTACTTCTTGATGTACATGTATACATCTGTCAAACATATTAAAAAAATATTCAGCGGATAATTCGACTTGATTTTGCTTGAAGATGTCTTTCAGATTCTGTTTACTTTGCAGAAACTGTCCGCTTTAGCGGCGGACGTGCAGCAGCGATGCTTCAGCGCGAGTCCCTTAAGCTTCGCCGCCACCAAAGTGGCGATGTCCAAGTTCGACTCGACCAGTTATCTGCCCTATGACAAACTGGAAGAAAATCTCAAAGTAGTTAAAAAGAGGTACGTAGAGAAAGAAAAATTAAAACCGCTCTTGTATCTCCTTCTTAAATGACTATTTGTTTCCAGATTGAATCGGCCGCTGACTCTATCCGAGAAAGTTCTCTATTCTCACCTCGATGAACCTGCCAAGCAAGAGATTGTCCGTGGTACCAGTTACCTTCGACTGCGGCCGGATCGCGTGGCTATGCAAGACGCGACCGCGCAAATGGCAATGTTGCAATTCATCAGTTCTGGTATGATTACTAGTCATTGACGTTCAATGCTTCATCAACGTGAGACTTTCAGGGATTATCGCGATGCTAAATGGAAATCTTTTTCTCTTTCTCTCCCTCTCAGGTCTACCAAAGGTGGCAGTGCCCTCCACCATCCACTGCGACCACTTGATCGAGGCGCAAATCGGCGGCGCTGAAGATCTCGCACGAGCCAAGGACATCAATGAGGAAGTCTACAATTTCTTAAAAACAGCTGGCGCTAAATACGGCGTGGGCTTTTGGAATCCCGGCTCCGGAATCATTCATCAAATCATCCTCGAGAATTATGCCTTCCCGGGTTTACTGATGATCGGTACCGATTCGCACACGCCGAACGGTGGCGGTCTAGGTTGCCTGTGCATCGGGGTCGGCGGTGCCGATGCCGTCGACGTTATGGCGAACATCCCGTGGGAGCTCAAGTGTCCCAAGGTGATCGGCGTAAAGCTCACGGGCGAGCTCAAGGGCTGGACCAGTCCCAAGGACATCATTCTAAAAGTGGCCGGTATTCTCACCGTCAAGGGCGGTACCGGTGCCATCGTGGAATATTTCGGGCCAGGCGTCGACAGCATCAGCTGCACCGGGATGGCCACCATTTGCAACATGGGCGCCGAGATCGGTGCCACCACCTCGATCTTCCCGTATAATTACAGGATGCAGGATTATCTGAAGGCGACTGGACGCTCGGAAATCGCCGGAGCCGCCGATCAACACAAGAGTCTACTGACGGCGGATTCTAACGCCAAGTACGATCAGATCATCGAACTGGACCTGTCCACGTTGGAACCGCATGTAAACGGACCCTTTACACCCGACTTGGCTCATCCGATCTCTAAACTAGGTAATTAAAGTGTTCGAAGCTTGGAAAAAGATCTATTTTTTTAGTTGCGTCTTTTAAAAATATATACAAACTCATACATGATAGGCGAGGCTGCAAAGAAAAATGGCTGGCCCAACGAAATCAAGGTCGGCTTGATCGGTTCTTGCACCAATAGCTCCTACGAAGACATGGGTCGGTGCGCAAACATCGCCAAGCAGGCTCTGAAGCATGGTTTGAAGGCAAAATCCGCATTCAATGTTACTCCTGGATCCGAGCAAATCCGCGCAACCATCGAGCGCGATGGAATTGTAAGTTTTCCCCATTTTTCTAAGTACCATAAACTTACTCAATATTGTTTTATTATAACAGTTATACATCTCTTTTTCAACTCGATATGATTTTTCATAAAAGATGATTGAAAATAGTTTAAATATAAAGCTATATATTATAATTACATTGCGTTGATTTATTCCAGGCTGAAGTTCTTCGTGAATTTGGCGGTACAGTGTTAGCTAATGCTTGCGGGCCTTGCATCGGTCAGTGGAATCGCCAGGATATCAAAAAGGGCGATAAGAACACGATCGTCACATCGTACAACCGAAACTTTACCGGACGAAACGACGCTAATCCAGCGACACACGCGTTTGTCACTAGCCCCGAGCTTGTAACTGCTCTGTCCATTGCTGGTCGACTTGACTTCAACCCTGTTAGCGACAGACTAAAAGGCAAAGATGGAAAAGAATTCCTCCTGGACAATCCATATGGTTAGTCAATAATAATAATTTATGTATATTGCATAATTATCAAAGAGAAGGGGAGGGAAAATACATGTATATTGCTTATATAATTTTTAATGCAAAAATTTATAGAATATATTTTAATAATAAATAATTATAATAATTTAATTTAATTAATTTAAATAAATAATTATAATAATTTAATTTAAATAATTTAAATAAATTTATAGAAATACTTATATATGTATGATTTGTTGCTAATAAATATCTATGTGCTTGTATAGGTGACGAATTACCTAACAGCGGTTTCGATCCTGGTGTGGACACTTACGATGCACCGCCGGCAGACGGTAGCAAGGTCAAAGTTGACGTAGATTCTAAGAGCAAAAGATTACAGTTACTCGACCCTTTTGACAAGTGGAACGGCCAGGATTTGGAGGATCTGACGATTCTGATTAAGGTCAAAGGCAAGTGTACGACCGATCACATCTCCGCGGCAGGTCCGTGGCTTAAATATCGTGGACATCTCGACAATATTTCCAACAACATGTTTATCGGGTAAGTTGGATATCTTATGCAAGTACATGATGGAGTCAAATCACTTATGAAATATTATCTTATTAGATAATAAAAATTATAAAAAATATACAGATTTTTGTAAAAAAATTTAGCTCTTTGTAAAATTGACAAGTGTCATTTTAATTGTATATTTTTTTTTAGCGCCGTTAATTCTGAAAATAGCGAGATGAACAAGATTAGGAATCAAGTGACAAACGAATGGGGTGCCGTGCCAGACGTTGCACGCGATTACAAGAAGAAGGGTATAAAATGGGTTGCTGTAGGCGACGAGAATTACGGCGAGGGTTCTTCGAGGGAGCATGCAGCTTTAGAACCGCGTCACCTTGGCGGTCGTGCCATCATAGTCAAGAGCTTCGCTCGTATCCATGAGACGAATCTGAAGAAACAGGGTCTCCTGCCTTTGACTTTCTCCGACCCCGCCGATTATGATAAGATCCAGCCTAATGACAAGATCAGTCTTCTTGGATTGAAGGATCTGGCACCTGGCAAGGTTGGTTTATGAATGACAATTTACTCGCCTAAAACTACAGGATGAAAAACAAATCTGAAATGTCCTTTAATCAAAGATCTACGATTTCTTTCCTTTATATTTTATATAAGACTTCCACGTCTCTCATTTATTATCATTCTTGCAGCCAGTGAAAGCGCAAATCAAGCACAAGGATGGCAAGGTGGATAACATCACTTTGAACCACACGATGAACGAGCAACAGATCGATTGGTTCAAAGCCGGCTCCGCCTTGAATCGTATGAAGGAAATTTCGAGCCGATAAATCAAGTATTCACTCACGGAGATTAGCCGATTATTAAAACGTATAACGCGTTTGTGTGAAAACGAAGATAACGTGCCACCGCGTCGTAGAATGAGGCAAAGTCGCTCGAGGTGCATAACATTGTAAAAATCATTTTGTTCCCTGGAAGCGAGTTATATATATGCCATAGTGCCTAGTAGCATTATAGTTCATCGTAACGCGAATGTTTAAACGTATATCGTGAAAACATTTTAAGGATCTTAATCTTTCAAATGTTTTTTAGATATATTTTTAGATGCGTGATATTATTAGGGAAATCGCTTTTTCTTTATCATTGATTTCTCTTTCCTCCTCGCTTCTACCTTGCTCTTGACAATACTTACATAGAAAAGAATTTGAGAAACTCTAGAGATATCCTTGTTCTGCGGTTCGCCAAACTTAGATCTTATTGATGGATACGTTCGTTTCTGAATCGCGTACAACTCGTGACGTTATTACATGTATATACTCATCAGTACCAAGAAAACGCTTGGTAATCGTCATTTTCTAGTTGTTGATTGATAGGAGAAAAAATGTATTGGTCTCGCCGTCGACGAGCACAAATAAATTACTAGCCAATAAGTCGCACATTATTAATTCCCTTGATGATAAATATGGAGATAAGAAAAACGACATAAAATTAAAATTAAATAAATAATAAATTAGAAATTAATAAATTAAAAAATAAATTAGAAATTAATTAAAAACAAATTAGAAATTAATTAAAAATAAATTAGAAATTAATTAAAAATAAATTAGAAATTAATTAGAATTTAGATTAGAAATAAACTAGAAGTTAACTTAAAATATCCTTCACAAAAATGATGACAAGAATATGAAAGACACACAAAAATATGAAAGAAAGATTAAAAAAAAATTAATTAAATTTTTTTTCAACAGCGATAAATTATATTGTTTTGACAAAAATCATTGATAATTGAAAAAATTAATTAATTCGGAATAATTATATACTTTATTTAAAAAGAATGTTTGGACAATAAATAAAATTAATTTGCAACAATAAAATTAGGAGAAAGAAATTCCCTTAAGAAATGCTTTGCTTATATCGTTGACGTGACATATGTGTCGACCAGGTGCGCTTCCATGGCAACGGAGTAAGGTACAATGTCACAAACAGAAAGTTAAGAGGTTCTTCACAATTGCTCTTTGAGTCTCGTAATTTATTCTATTGTTGAAAGCTTAAAAAGAAAACAACGTTGATTCTATTCGACAAGTATGTCAGTGGAAGGACAATTTTTTTTATCCGTCACCGGGTCCATTGAGCATGCAGACTTCTATGATGCCGATAACGTTTACTGCAAGTACAGTTTTCATTTCGGACCCGAATGGAACGTAGTTACGGTAAGCTCTTACAATAATAAAAGAAACTCAAAGAGAACAATAAAATCACGTTACAATCACGTCATAAAATCCTCTCAGCAATCTAGGCCACTTTGCAGCCATATTGGATTATGTCGGAAGGAAAAATTTTATATAACTTCTCTTCGTGCGTATGTGTGTTTGTGCTCAGATAATATAACGGTTTTTTTAATATGAATATTGGCCGAAAAAGAATCGAGTTAATTGAATTAATTCAAATTAAATTCATTATTACGTATATTTTTTATTATTTATATATTTTTTCTCTTTTACTTTTCGCGACAATAAACTATTGTGTGCATCTGTTGCAAAATGCAACAGTTATTCGTCTATGGCTTCATAAAGAGATTAAATTATAATCAGTATGCAAAACTTATAAATTATGCAAAATTTATTTATCCAAATTCACAGCGAGTTTACGTTATATTTATTAGTATATGTCTCTTTTAATAATAAATTATTTTGCATAATTTAGCTTTTGCAAAATTGAATTAATTTAATAATTAATGATTAACCGTCGAGGGACTGACCATTAATTCCAATAATATGTTTAAATATAACGTAAAAAAGTAACGTGTATATTGTATCATATTTTTTTACTTTAATTAATTTTTCTGCATATGTAAAAATAAAATAAAACTCTTTATTAAATAATATAAAACACAAGAAGGAAACAAGCTAATATACATATGTATGTATGAAGTTCCTTATCGATTACAACTACTGGATACAAAATTTCACAGACGTGACGGTATGACATTGCAAAAATACCAGCATTTGTAAAGCTAAAGAAATAATATGTTCACATAAAGATATTTACATTCTGTTGAGGTCGTTTTTGTTTAAAGCATACACGATTTTTTAAATATTACATTTGTATTCAATATTTATTTTCCTGACGTTTTCATATATAAAATATTATTTTATTATAAGATGGTCCGAAAAAGAGGCAAAAGTTTAGCTGAAAGAAATTTTCTATAAATAATTCACATCCACGTTTTCTGCGCTTGCTTCTGTTTCTTTTCCGTGTTTTTATTCTGCATACTCTTTATTGAATATCTTTACTTATTGAATTATTTTTTTGTCATGCGAATATTAACTTCCGTTATAATATTTAAGAGACAGAGGCAAATAAGACACAAAAATTTATATTGATAGTTTAAATTATTTATTTTAATTATATATTTTTTACAGGGAATCGAAGAAGGTTTGACGCAAATGTGTAAGTGTAGCAATGATCCGAGGAACCTCGCCGTTTGGAATTTTCCCCTGGATATTACGTTCAAAAGTACAAATCCACACGGATGTAAGAATCGATTAAAATTCTTTTCGTTACATGAAAAATTATATAATATAAAAACTGTATAAAATTTTTCTACTTATATCACATGTTACACTTTCTAAATTATAAATAAAGAGAGTGAGATATGCATATTTGTTACAGGGCCGCAGCTTGTTATGTCGATCTACGGATTGGATTTATTCGGTCATGACGTCATTAGGGGATACGGAGTATGCCATTTGCCTTTGAAAACGGGACATCACGAGAAAAGGTATTGTTCGAATAAAGCACGCGGAAGAGAATCTAATTTTGAAAACACGTTGAATATATATGCCATAAAAATTCCTATATTTTTGAATTTCAGTTTTTACGGAAAATATATATTTATTTTGCGTTCCGTAATCCAGATGTATTACAGCACAAAGAAACATTCGAGAAAGGGTCGAGTGTACTACATTATTCATTGATTTATAGAATATTTCTAGTTTTCATTGTGTTGGCCTTTAGCAAAACTCTTTCAAACCGGCCATCGATCAGTTAGCGAAAATAAATTTGAAATTTTCAGTGGCCCGGAAACGTCACTTTTCTTCTGAGAGAGAGAAAGAGAACATTTATAAATGACATTATTATTCATAAAGCTGGCAACACATTAGCTGCAACAACGAAAGAAACAAATCATTTCCCTCGTATTCGCGTGATTGAATACCTCTTTGTCAAGCCTGTTATGCTCTGCAATTTTTTTCGTATTTTCATCTGTCGCGTTTGTAAGGTAAACGTTCAACTTGTCCACATTCTCATGCATCGCACGTATCGCGCGTACATCACAGAGAAATATGTATTTTCTATCATTCCATGTTATTCCATGAGAGACACGCATTTGCTAGTTCGCGTCGCGTGCGTCGAAAAATCCGATCAACGGATTTCACGAAAAAATTATTTTGCGACGCGTTCCCACGATACATCAGCGAAAAAAAGAAGGAATATAATAGAAGACGGGGAGATAAATTCATTATCCTATATTAAGGATGTTTTGTATGTACAATCCCAGCAAAAAGCAGCTGAAAATCAATATTGACGAATATCTACTTTTGGTGTATTTTGAGTATGAGAAATTGCGTGGAATATTATAATTTGATCTTAGCTACAGTGCAGAGATGTATTTTTTAATATTTATTGCGTTTTTACTGAAATATTCCGAATTTTGTTAATCGAAATGATTAACTTTTAGTAGAGAATTTCGTCTTGTGACAGATACATGGCTAGCTTCATTAAATTATATTTAATATCTTTTTAACCACCTAGTACTTGTATAATATTATTTGACCAAATATTTCCTCTGTATCTAAACTTTTGTAAATTTTAAACAAATTCTGAATATTTTTTCCATGTGTTTTTGTCATTTGAATCGACGTGATCATACGTTTCCCATAAGAACACATGTTAATTCGGTGCAAATTAAAATCCTTATAACTTGTGAACGCTTTAGTAAATCGATTTAAAAATTGTACTGAAGATTCTAAACATATGTAAGGATATTCTGTACGATTTTCATTAAATTCTCGATATTTTAAAAATAGGTACAAAACATCCTTAAGCGATAATTTTCTCTCACGTGGATCTATTGCGTCTGAAAACGAATTTTTTCGACGATGAAATTGGATTTTGATACGAATCAGGAAATCGCGTATGCATAAAGTGAAATTCTCCGAATCCAGAAGGTCCATAAACACGCGCATACCAACGGCATTCAGAAAAATCCGATGCAGACAGAGAGACTTGACGAAGAAGAATGCGACACAATGTATGCGCTGTATGCGACGCGGATCGTGAAATTTACATGCATTTTCGCAAGTCACACTTTCTTGTAGTCAAGTCCGTGCGAATCGAAGATGAATATATTCGATCGTAATCCACATATTCGCTAACATTTCCGCATATGTCATTCCTTTTGAAACGTATCGAATGCGCTCTGAAATTCGCACCGCGAACATGCTTCGCTAAAATCTCGAAATTATCGCAGGGTATTCATCTACGTGCCGGAATCGTCGTCCACGTTACAACGTTTCATGGAGTGGTTAACCGGCAGGAGACCGGAATTAATTGATCCCGCCATCCTAGCATCCGGCGGCGGCAGAGAACGTAAGGAAATGCACCGAGACATTTCTCATTAGTGCATCCATACATATTGACGTTAAAGTAATTATATCCGGCGCATCTGGAACGAAGAGAGTGCGATTCGCGAGTCGAATAAATTAATTCGTTTCATCGGGGATCCTTCCTCAAGAATCAAACGAAAGAGATAATCTCGACTCTTCGTTTCGTGAAAAAATAATATTTCCGAGAAAGGGAATTAATTACTTGAATTAATGGAATAATTTTTTTTTCTAGACAATTTCTTACGAACGACTTTTGATAAAGACATCGATAAAGATTGATGAAGAAGCTCTTAAGCGCGATTCCGGGAAAGTTTATTCCGACGTTAATAGCCTTATAATAATAATAAAAATAATAATAACAATATTTTCGTGAATTCTGTCAACTCTTGAGATTCTCCTACGGAAATTTCTCTGGCTTCCGTTTTATTGCTTCCTCCTCAAGCTTTGTGTTTCACAATATTGCAGTCACACGCATGAGGGTCGAGGGAGCCGTTACCGTAACGTTCAACGTCGTTTTGAAGGATTTCTTCAAGTTGGGTTACGACAACGGCGAGAAATGGAAGAAATGATAACGCGACCGTTAAACTCCTTCGGCTCAAGAGAGAGGATTACCCCGTCCAGGATTATCTTATCAAGGAGGTACAATGCTGCACTTCGTAAATACTATTCCGATGAACAATCGAGGTGTGATTTTTCCGCATAATCCAGTCCAGTTTTTCCCTGGAACGTCAACGAAATGGAGAGAAAATTAAGAGTATATTCCTCGCGTTAATAAACGTGTTGCAGAAAAAAAGAAGAGGAGCGGAAGGGAACGGGCTAATCCTTCGGGAATCCTCGAGGGATCCTCCTTATTAAATTTGAACGCGGCGTTAATCTTCGATCGCAGGTGATTCCGGATGAAGTTTCGCGCATAGGTATGATTGCGTAGCGAAAAAATAGACAACGATTTTTCGAAAGAGGATTGCAACGTCGTTTACGTCGAAATACGTCGGTATCTTGATGGAAAAGCTGTCGGTGGTAGTCCTCGATTTTTCGCGCGATTATAGCTGACCGAAGCAGCCGTTTTATATATCGCTGAATATTGCGTTCGAGATGAAATCTCGAGCGGGATGGTGAGTGCGTTACACTTTACCTCTCGGGAAAGCCGGGCGAGCCAAGAATTACACGCTAATACATCCAATCGTGCGTGTTACAGGGTAAATATATGTTGTAAATATAAAGCGAATCACGTGTAAACAGGCATGTTGATATTTGCAATAAATGTTGCAAACTCGAAACACGATAAACTCGGATTAATCGCGAAATTGTACGATATTATTATCATCGATAGAGGTAACATGAAAAAAAAAAAGAAATCTACGATATTGCTTTAACGAATATTAATTCAAGGAGATTAACGACGCGGGAAGTTGACGAGCTGCGCGAAAAATAATAAACGTCGAAGCTTTCTAATTTTCAATGTTTCGTGACAAATCCTCGAGTATCGGAGAGCGATACATCAAAGTGCATGGAATGTGACATGTGCATCAGGGTTGTTACATCCGTGGCCTCTCATCCGTGCGGGTTAATGCGATAATGCCGCCGGAGATGCGTTGATAATGATCCAATAACACGCGACGTAAAATCGAAAGACCGGCTTTTAAGGGCGGCTGAGTTTTAATCTAGACGTATCGCGCGCGTAAAGCGACACGATTATATGCGAGCCATCCGGATGTCAGGATAGGGATGACGCGCGGAGATGACGTCGTCGCGTTTTACGAGCGCCGAGCGTTAAAGGTAGCTAGAATGAAAGTACTGCAGGCTATGGGGAAGGCCGGCCTAGGGGTCGTAAACATACAAGTCGCAAAATAAGCGGGCGGTGAAAGGACGCTGCTCTGTTATTGTTGTTTTCTCGGCTGACCCAACAAGATCGATTCCCGGATCAGAGAATCAATTACGTTAATGTGCAAATCGGTCTTCTTTTTTTTTTTTCGCGCACACAAAGTCGAGTTCTTAACTTCCTAGTAGCAACAATTATCGTACAAATATTATGAAAAGGAATGATATAACTTTCGGATGAATAAAAATTGTACAGGCAATTTTCCGACTGGAAAAAATGAATCGATGTAATTATGTAAGATTATACATAATCATACGTAATAAAATTCGAAATTTGGTGCAATCATACACTGAGAAAAATCATTTGATTGTATCATAAGACGTATATGATTGAAGGCATTTTGATTAAATCAAACAAGAATTTCTAGTTATCATGATAAGACTCGATTTTTTATAACTAGAACGTGTGTTTGAGCTGCATCCTCATCTTGTATCACTGTTTATCAGTTAAATTTCTAACGAATTGAATTGAAAATAATTTATTCAATAATCTGGATTAAATTTATGCAATAATCATGGAATTTGGAATTCAGAATATTAAACAGACTTTTGAGATTAGATGGAAAAAATTTTAGACGACTTGGTGCTAACAAGTTTAGTATTATTAACCAGAAAATTTGGTAAATTTAACAGGAAGAAATTAATCAGATTCATCTGGTAATTCCTACAAGAATTCTGGTTCGTCCATTTTCCAACAGACATACTGGTTGAATCTACCAGAATTCTAATTAATGCAAGATTTTTTTCTCAGTGTAGATAATTGTGTAATTAATGTTATTAAATCCGAAATTTTTGGCGTTATCGTATATAATCGAAATTATCATTTTTTTGCCGGAAATACACATGTATTGAGATAAGGATAAAGATATTTGTTCGTGCGGAATACAATCATATGTACGACGTTTATATTTATTCATACAATACATGGTTAGATAGATCAACGTGCGATAAAATATGATATAATAAAGAGATCTCCTTATTCTCTCTCTTGTTCTCTTGTCGTGAAAGAGTAGTAACTTTTGAAGCGGTGGGAGTTTTATAGTTTCAAGAATTTCAATCACGTACCGTAAATCGAATGTCTGCGTGAGACAAGAGCACAACTTTCCGGAAAAGAATTTTCCGAACAGCATATGAGCAATAAAGGGGATAAATTAACAATTCGCAACTCGAGGTGCAACGATATTGAACGGACGGAGAAAGGGTGGGTGGGGGAGAGAGGGAGAGCCTCGGCTCTCGCGTTAATTCAATATCGCGTTACAAGTGGTTCACGATCACGCAGACATTCGACATTTCCGCTTCTATAACTTAATATATTCTATGCATTACATCTCTGGCAATGAGATAGAAATTGCAAAAAAAAATTTTTACTCTCGTCGGCCGCATCTCCCTCGCATATCAATTCGCGTCCTGCGATTGTGCGGACTTGCGTAATTTAAAAACTGAAAGCACGGTGGGTATCTTCGCGCTGCCCTTGCAAGGTTTCCCTTGTGGACTAGATTCGTTACAAGATGCTTCGCTTTATCTATACTTATCTCGTTAAACATTTAAAATAATTATTTGATATTAACTAAACTTATTTAAGCGTACGTTCTACGTATTTTTTCGATAAATTTTACGTTTATTAATAATTTAAAAATAAAGTTTCGGGAGACAATCTCTCCGGGAGTTGATATAATTGCTTTTGCAAAAATCAATATTAAGTTTCGCTCCGAAATATCGTGTCGTCTCTCACAATTGATTTCTGTAAAATATTGTTCTACTTTTCAGGAATTTGTACAAACCTTGTTTAAATATCTCGAGAATTAAAAACTAATTAATATCTTCAACAACATTGTGGAAGATTGATCAAAAGGGATAGATAAAAATTTCGATAGATATAAATTACATTCTATCGGGGAAACTAACGCATTAATACGTTATTCTAAAAAGAAAATACGATCAATCCTCGATTTTGAAAGACTGAGAGTTCGATTTGAAAAAGAAATTAACACGGCAATTTTTGACAGATCCGTGTCGATTTCTTTTCGTAGCGTTTATTGTTACAAATAAAAAGCGCTAACGTTCTCTTCTACGATCAATTTGCTACTTATCTGCCCACGTGCATTATCTATCAATGTCGTTGTCGTACTTTTCCGAGGAACTGGTGTCCGGGAAGAGTCGGAGGAATTCGAAGACGATGCCGTTGGTCCATCCGAAGCCTTCCTGAACCCCGTACTCGCCACCGCCGCCACCCTCGCCTGGATGTATCGCGTTGTACTGAAATTAAAAGGCTAATTACATCTCCCCCGACCTTTGACTCACAAACAAAGTCGCGTCGAAAGTAATCAAGGCGCGCTTTAGATCGTCGCCGCGGTTCCCACCCTCGGCGGTGAGTTAATTCCTCGATGGGGAATGCTTGCCCTGCGCGGAAATCTAATTTCGTCCGATCGAGAGGACTTGGATGAACTTTCGTCAGTTAGTTAAACGGCTACCCGTGTACATTTTAATCCGCGCGAATGATCGCACAAGAGTGTACGAATTATTTTGCGCTGCAATTTCCCTCTTTAATTCTCGAGAACAGAAAAGTGCAAAAGGCAATTTATTTAAATTATACAAGGGTTGTTATCTTACATCATTATTTCCTACCATTTTCTTTTACTCGAAGAGAATTTCTTCTAATTTTCAACGAGAAATGGTGCACCAGTTTTCTAGCTAAAACCAATTAAGGCTCTCGAATCGTCGCGCGAAATTGAAATATCGCAGACAGATAACGAGATATGAGATCTTACGTTTAATTTTAATAGCGAATATCTAGCGTTGGCATTTTTACGTATTTTCCACTCGAGGGAAAATCAGTTTCGACAGATTTGGAATGTCATAACGAGAGATTTTAATAGACCGATAGCGAGACGCGAATAGGAGAAGCGTATCGACGTATTTATTTTCATTAACGTCATATCGATGATAAATCATCGCGACTGCCTCCCGTCGAAGGCGCACGGTTGACGTTGTTATAACAATTTCCGACCTGGAAGCGATAGGATATAAATCGGACGCGGGGGAGGGAATAGGGGATGAAATGCTCTTCGTTATTCCATCGCTTCTCTTCGTACGATCGGAACGGCCGAACGAGACAATAACAGGTTATTATACTCTGGTATATAGCGTACTCCTCCCTTTGTTCGCAACGATGCGAATTTTTAAATTGTTACTATCCCGCCCCCTTATCTAGTGCGCGTCTTGCAAAATGCCGGAAAACGATTCCTATACACAGAAAAAAAGAACATTCTTGTTTTGAAAATATATTTAGTTTTAACATGGAAATCTTGAAATGAGATTATATTGCGTTAATAAAAAAAAATATAATTGCATGAATAATTGCTTACTTGAATGAAGTCATTTTATATGGTTCAATCAAGAAAAATATATTCTTATGATTTAAGATTTAATTTTTTTGAATGGAAAAGAAATAATGTTAGATAGAAAATAACATTTTTAAATCAAAGATTATAATTTTCTTAAAGTAGAATTAAATAATTATATATTTTTAAAGTGACAATTACAATATTAAAATAAGACTATAATATTATTGAAATTTAAAATTATTAAATTCTTCTACGAAGATTATAAATTGTTGCGTATATACGAAACAATGAACGCATTAGTTTAAGTATATAAGTTTTGATTTGACACTTTTTTTCTGTGTAGCTTTTACATTGATACACATCTCGCCTATTTCACAAAAATCGCAATATAAAGTTAAAAAATCAATTATTAATAAAATCAATTATTATCAATTATTAATATAATTACTATTAAAAAAGAATAAATTATTTAAAAGAAAAAATAGAAATTTTAGAAACAGAAAAAAAAATATTTATACTTGCAAATTCTTTTTGATATGTATTAGAATATTTATACTTGCAAATTCTTTTTGATATGTATTTTCTGACATATTTATACTTGCAAATCTTTTGTTGACACATATAAGACGAGCAATTTGTTATAAATATATTGTTTCGATGAATATTTTTGATTTTCATGATTTTTAAATCGCGCATTATCTTCTTTTTAAAATATATTTGAAAATTTTTTGCAAACTACGCAAATGAGCTAAAACTAACATTGCGCATTTTATATATATTTTATACATACTTTTTTTGTTAAAAGCATCGGTTGATAAACGAATAACAAATCGTGATAAACGGCGATGTCAGTGCATCGTCGATGCATTCATGTTGATATAAATTCATATCGATGCCGGGTTTACCGAGTTAAAGAAATGCCCGAATGCGTTAACGTGCACGTGTATGTGTATCTACAATTGTGACTAGTCGCGTTATGCGACTTTGATATATTCCCTTTACTCGAATGCGTAGAACGAAATCATTCTTTCGTAAAACGGAAAATAGATGTGTGACATTTATTCGTTTGTAACATTTGACTGGAATGATAAAACAGCCGCTTCTCTATCGAAGGATGTTATACAAAAAAAAAAATAAATTAGCATAAATATTTAAGCGCGAAATATAATCTTTCGAGAAAGATTGATTCTTTCTACAGCATCTACGTGACACTTGTTTCTGCATTTTCTTTATTGTACGTCTTCTTGAATACAAATGGAAGTGTGCAATAAAAAATCTATTACTCAACTTGAAACTCACACATACAGGCGCACGTATACTTTTTCTCTTGCAGACAATCTCGTTGCAAAGCGTACTTTGAAAGAGGAGGAATACTTGATAAATGTGAATGGTAGATTGCGAAAAACTAATGTGTACAGAGTGTCTCAAACGTTATAATTACAGATTGTGTCATTCAATTTGTAGAGACGATTTTTCATCAAAAAATTGATTAAACAATATATTTTTTGTACAACTTTGGCAATTTTTGAAAATTAAATATTCGTTTAATTTTGCTCCTCTTTGTCAACTAGAATTTCATCTTTTTCTACTTTGTTATGAGATACATTTGTATGACACCCCGTACATTCGTAATAAAACAGCCTATTTCGCGACGACACAAGTCAGAAATTAATTGAAATAAATTGTTCCGGCTTATTCGAACGCAAAAAACATGGTGCTTTAATGCGTGTAAACTTAATAATTAATATTCCAAGCCAGTCAAGCATATTAAATTATGAAATTAGAGACGAGGAGGAGGAGGAAGAGGAGAGAGATGTAATTTCCAGCGTGCCTCGGAATAAGTGAATTTCTTTGCATGCCATCATTCACGCTCGATGGAACAAGTTTGAAAAACGTGCCACGAGTACTTTTCCTTTTAGCTTCTCCTTCATTAGTAAATGGCCGTGCGATCTAATCTAAAGCTCTTACGATGAAAGTAACCTCCATACACTAGATACGTATGTATGTGTCGCATTAAACTTGGAAAAATTATTTATTAATTCACCTCCAACTGAAGAATACGCGCATGTGCTTTATAAGCTTATACTCTTGTCGAACGCGAAAAAAAGTTAGTTTATTCCGAGTTCATTTGGGCATTATAAAAAAAACGAGATAGAACATAGATGATATTCTCGCTCCCGGCAAAATAATCCAATGTGCTTGCGGCAACTTCATCCGGAAATTTAGTTTCAACGTACACACAATCGAGAAACGTATCACATCCGTGGATTAAACTTTATGAATTGACGTAATCGTGTCGTTAAAAATAAATAAATGTTGTATCCTCTCGAAGAATTAAGCTCGAAAATCGTATTGGAAAATAATGCGCGCGAGAATATAATTTCAATTTGTCAATGCGAAAAAAATTGTCTTGTCCCTTGGAGAGGAATGTAGATCCTGAGAGACTTGGGTGTCTTCCCCTTTTCATTTTCAGAACAAGGCGAACAAAAGAAGCCTTGATTGAATCGATCGACTATGTTTGTTCATCGAGATGGACTGACTATTTTTTCTGCAGAGCTCTGATACTACGATATCAACGCGACGTGATTCGCGCAAAGTTGCCAGGCACACCCTACATTTCGTCGTCGCCGTTCCATTCTCTCTTGCTGACCACATTGTTCATAATTATTACATTAATTTAAACTTGCCCATTAAAATAACTTTACTAATTCCAACGCTAGATTATTAATATTAATATTTAACGTTTCTTTCTCTCTCTCTCTTTCTCTCACACACACACACATGCACATATGAGTATATTTATAGCTGTTTTTAACTGTTGTTATATTCGTTAAAAATAAACACGAAATAGTCGATTTTTGTTAAAATACTAGCAAAAATATCGAACATAATTTTATTTTATATAAACTCTCGAAAAGAGAAAATTTTTAAGTATTTGAACAGCACAATTAAAACATTTTGAAAAATACACATCGAAATTTATATTTTCAGATATTGCAACATCTCTATGTAATAATTGCAACGTTTGGTAATTTGATAAAATGTTAAAAGTAATTATGATAAAAATTACAATGGATATGAAAATTAAATTCGTGATAATTCCGGCTTTTTTCGTGTTATAATAAAATATATTGTGTATGTGAATAATTAACAAAGGATTTCAATAACAAGGTAAACATATTTACACGTACAAATGCATGCGCTGAAGAGCAGAATATAATTCAAAGAGAGAAAAAGAAAGATTTTTCCCGCTTTATTCCGGCCATTACGTATACGGCCTCCTCAATATGCATGAGCGCACCGACAATATTTTTTTCCCTTCTGGGGAGAGAGAGAACCGGAAGAAGAGCAAGAGGCGGATAATGTACATAACATATTTTCTCTCAATGTACCGTGCTCCTAATCGCAACGTTTCCGCACGAGCGTCTTGAATCCTCTCCTCTCCGAGGGGTGGTGAAACAAAACAAGACAGATTAGAGCGAGCAGTACACCAGACGTATTTCCCGAAGGCTTTCGAGTCATCTCCCTCTCTTTTTCCTTTCCCTCTTTCCTTCCACGTTCCAGCAGGACAACGTGGAATGACAAGAACATATATATAGGGTGCCCCAAAATTCGCGATAAATATTTTAATGACAAATTCTGTGTAACATTTTAAGACGAAAATTCTAATACGAAACTGTCGAGGCTATAATAGTTTTCAAAAGGGAAAAGTTTAAAGATCACGAATGACAGGTTTGAAGAGTTTAGGGTGTTCAGAGATAGTAAAATGGCTAATAGTAAAGATGCTTACTTGAATAGAATGCTTTTGATATCGATGAAATTATTGTGAAGATATTCAAAAATTTTATTAAAAATCGTGATCTTTAAATTTTTATTAAAATATTTATTTATCGCGAATTTAGAAACACCGTGTGTATATATATATATATATATATATATATATATAAGGGAGATCACCCTTATGCGCATTAGATGGTCAACTATCTCTTCCTGTAGTCGAAATTCGAGAACATTTTCCGAAACATAATACGTATTTCGTCGAGTTTCCATATCAAAAAGGAATACGAGAAGACACGTCTGCGTCAATTCCGGAACTGAAAATGTTTGCTCCGATAGATATTAATTAGTAATGACATAGTTGCACTTTTTTAATTTGATATCAGCAAAGTGCATCTATATTTGGTTGTCAATAAGAAATAGTAATAAAAAAGCCAAAAAAATACATTACGAGAAGAAATTAATTGAAATTAAAATAACACCAAATTAATTACTCCCTTTAAATTCGAGAGGGAAATATTGGCTCATTAGATCGCGAAATAAAAGTGTTACATTTATATATTTTTGCGATAAAACTTCATTATCATACAAATTGTCCTTCTTGAGGAAATTAATTTGAACTATATCGGTGGAATCTACTATTCCCTTAGGGGACTCTGGAAATAATTCTGACATCCATTAGTATCTGTGTGTGTGGAAACATCTGCCGCAGCTTGTCAGCAGGAAACGTCTGCCCTTAATCTGTTACTTTTCCGGTCAGCGAAGCGGTTTGCAAACGAATAGGGTCCTCGCCTAACGCAAGAAAGAGAGACTCACCTTCTCAAACATTTTGCCATATTCGTCGTAGCCAATATAATTCGATCTCAGCCATCTGCCAGCCAGAGTCTCGGCCATATTCACCGCTTCCTTCACCCCGGTTCGGTAGAGACCCAGAATCAAAAAGGACTGCAAAGGCGGCCAAGCGTTAGGGAAGTCCCATTGTTCGCCGGTGTAGTTCACGGAACTTGGCGTGCCACCTGCAACGAAAAGCAAGCCAAGTTTCTTATTGTGTCTTATTGTGTCGGAGAGAGCTCGATATCGCTTTCTGACTCGAGACAATCGATTCCAGGGGAGAATCGCTACACGAAATGTGACGATATCTTGATCCTTTAACAATGACTGTTAAATTTCGATACCTTCTTCTATAATTTAAATACCTCTCATTTCTAAAATTGCGATATCTGAACTCGCGTAGAAAACATAATTTTTTATTGAATTATTGAACCAATTACAGCTCAATCCGTCAGTAATCGAATAAGTAAAAACTAACTCAGAATATCGTGTATCGTGGGATTAAAACATTCATGACGAATCATATTAAATATGCTCCACAGAGAAAAGGAGAGGAAAAAGTATTCCAATTTATCGGAATTCCTTTCATCTATATTTCTTGCGAGTCCTTTGATCAATATGAAATCGATGTTTCTTTAATAATAAAAATGTTTCTTTAATAATAATAAAAATTTGGTCGACCCGCAATTAATCTTAACGCTACTGCTCGATACTTGGAGAAAGTATAATCGATCGCTCCTTTTTATTATTGAAAATGAAAAATTACAAGACGTAATGAGATTCTTTACAAAATTAACTTTAAATTAAAAAGTTTTTTCTCATAAAAAATTTTTTATTTTACCTTCAATTTTATTTCTTCTTTTAAAAGGAACATTTCTAAATTCTACTTTTCAAGCTGTACGCACCCAAGTTTAAGGGGAAAAATTATATTATCTGAGAAACTAAAAGTATCGCGTTGAAAATAATTGGAAAATATTTTAGTTAATTGCCAATATCTCGGAGACGAGGAGCAACAGCGGCATTTATTCGCGAGAAAATGCTCCCAGGACGAATCACTGTCACTGACAGCCAGTATAAATCCAATCGAGAATATTTCCTAGGATCCATCCAATTTTTCCGATTACGAGTCGATCATTGATAGATCGCGATATTTCACGTGCCCCGCCTAACATCTCCCTCGCATACATCTCTCCCCTTCCACCTCTCGGTTACGTCATTATCACGAATGATGATGGTTCACTCGCAAACACGCTGACTCGCCAAAGCTGTTCTTACAAATGCACTTGGAATCGCGTAAAGCCATTACTTGTAAGATGACAAAATCCAAACTCTCCCCAGCTGTTTCAATTATTTATCGAGAACGGCAAGATATTTGCACCCGCGCTACTCGCTACCCTATGCAAGCTCGACGACGGGACATGTTAAATTCCGTCCAGTTAGCACTTTATATTCTATTAAGGACTAACTCGTCGTATCCATGCCGCTCGTTGAAATTACAGCTGGAGTTGACGTAATGAATATTGTGATTCGCTATCGAATAGTTTGGCGCAATTATTTTTAATGAGTATTACGCGCATGATTATATAGAATTCCAATTTGCTTGAGATAATCCATCTGTAGCATTCCTAAAATTCTCGCCAATCCGTGTATTATATTGTACAACATTTACACATAATCTGGTATCGGAATGCAGTTTAATACGCTTCGTACTGATGCTATCTACCTCAATTTCTCTTTAAGCAGAGTTAATCGACGAAGTTATTGTTTACTCCGAGATTCCGGGGATGACTGGCAAAAAAAGAAAGCTTTGAAAAAGTGAGTTCGAAAAAGAAAATAGAAGATAAATGATCTCGCGCACAGAAACATATCTCCGGAAGTTGGATTAACTCGTATATCCCGTATTCACCGAGCGTTATATCGATCGTTGAAACCTTTGGTCTTTCCGACGCGTTATTTTTATCCGATTTATTTTTGCCATTTCGGCGCCATTTGTTTATTTTATTTTGGTTGTTTTGAAAAGGATGAAGAGCGCTCGAGAGGAATGAAAGATTTAAACGGTAGACTTAAGCGGAACAAGGAAAATCTTGAGAAGAGCGGGCAAAATCTGGAGATATCTTGAGACGCAGGGAATATTTTAAATTCGCGGATTTTGCGAACGAAAACAAAAAATTGATATAAGAATCGAAATAGAATTTACTACTTGATATCCAAAAAATCGAAAAGAAAAGATTAAATTTAAATCTAAATTTAAATTTAAATTAATAATTATATATTTATTAATTAATAATACATATTATATTATCTTTTTAATATTCCACAGGAAGGAACAAGAATATATTATGTATATTTTGCGCGTTGGAAAAGTAGGAAATTTCATTTCTGTGAAATATTGAATATATGCAAAACTTACCAAAGTACGAATCGATCTGGTTTCTCTTGAGGTAGGAAATAGCCTTGAGGGCGTAATCGAGGCTCTTATTTCGATTATAGCTCATTGTGTACAAGGGCGTCAAATTGGAAGGATAGAATGAATTTCTGGATCCCTTATCCCTCGTATCATAATCAAGCCAGATTCCCTCGTCTTCGTTCCAGAGGACGTTGTCGATGGCAGCTTGATAGTCCACGGCGATCTTGGCATAACGCCAGACCTTCTGGAATGAGAAGGAGGGAAGCGGGGAGGTTGAAATAGCGACAACAGGGTATATGTTACGCGACTGATAACAACGTGAGACCAGGCGATAATAATATTACGTCACGTCCGCGTATCTAGCGTAAGAGACGATTCCTCTCAAAATTCGATAATATTACATTATCCTACCATTTATAATAGTCGTTTTATTTCCGTTTCCCTTCATGCATCATCGAGAGAAATGGAAGGGATACATTTGTAATCGTTACACGTCATAATTAAAGATCAGAGAGAATATTCCGATATTCCCTTATTCGTCAGACAATATTATCGCGTCGCTTTGGGAAACGACAGAGCAATAAATACGGCGTGTCGTGTTTCGCGCTGATGGTACCTCGTGTTTGCGGAGCTATTGAAACGGAAGGGTAGTTCAGCGAAAGGCTTACCTCAGGATTGCCCAGGATACCGTGAAAACGGGCGAGCAACCGAGCGTTCCGCTGTAATATCGCATTCAAATCAACGGGTATAATATCGCTCGTCGAGACGTTGATGAGGCTGAGATTGGCGTTCCTGTCGATTCGTATGCACCATCTGTAAGAGAAATCCCAACCGCTCTCGGCCGCGGCTTTCAAGTCGTTGTAAATCTCCCCGCGCTCCTGCTCCGGCAATTGTTGCACCAACTGGTAATCCTCCCTACGAGAGGACGTACACGTTCGTCCTTATTCGTTAGATATTCACCGCAATTAGCGGCGCGCCCGCTCCTGGGGATGATCGATGCAACCGTCGAAATATAGATACCTTTACGGGGAAAAATGACGACGGACCGAGCGTCACGTTACACACGTTACGCGGACATAATTCAATACGTGGAAGAAAAAAATCGCGATTCTGTTTCGCCCCTCGAATTTTTCTCCGGAGAAAAATCGCGCGCGAATTCCCATCCATATCCAGTCGGACTCGCATCCATAAATTCGGCGATGGTGGTCGTAAAATGGAGGAGAACCGCCAGAAATAAATTCCTTGGAGAATTTTGACAGTTACATCGATCACCGGAATCCACAATCGTGTTTCCCGTCGAGAGGGAAACTTACTTGTAACTCTCCGGTCGCGGACCGTTGCTGTTTGTCACGTAACGCGCCATCCTGTAAGGGATACCGTTCTTCACTATGGTCACCATCTTCTCGTTTTGCCAATAATCGAATTCCTTTTCTAGGATGGCTATATTTTGCTTCAGAAACTCGCGATCCTTCGTATAGTCGTAATACTTCTCGACCTGGAAGAGAGCGTTTCAGACAAAAATGAAACTGCGAATTCTTCGAGGAACTGTTTAAAGGAAGACGGAACGACATCGCGTACAAAGAAACCCCGCTATTGCCACGAAATGCAACTAATTCGGAGACAGGGATGGAAAAATGCTTTGTACTCGAAAGAGGTTGAAGACGTCATACGTACCATCGGTATCAACAGGGGCAGTTGGCTTCGAGACAAGTAATAAACTCTACCGCCGTTCGGAACGAAGCCGAATCTTTCTACCATGGAGAAGAAATTTTCGATCATTCCTTTAACAGTGACGGGCATGTCGCATAATAAGAGTCCCTCGATTATCCAGTAGCTGTCCCAATAATAAAATTCTGCAGCAAAAATTTCATCCCTTCAATGCGCTTGAACTCTTTCTCTCTCTCTTCATATTTATTATTCTCAACGAAATGTTTATAATAATCGATTGGAAAATTAAATTTTTAATTCAGGAATTATATTTTAGCAATTTTATCATAAGAGAAAAAATAAATTCGTCCCTTCATTTCTCAGTCTGAAAGAGATTGTCTCTATAATAAGCGTTCTCTTTTACAAAGAGAAAGAATTCAAGAGATAGAACGAGAATTCGCGTATAACAAATATCATAAAAATTATTATCACTTCTTGAGTCTTGGCAATGCAAACACATAAAAATACGTAAACGACTTTCTGCTACTGCCAAAGTAAACACATAAAAATGAATAGTCGCAAAAATGTCAACCGTACGCCGTCAAGGCTCTACGAATGTAACTGTTCTCAAAGTTCGCCAGAGGATACAGACTTTTTAGGGACTCGTTTATGCAATCTGAGAAGAATGTAAAAGATCATAGCCAGACGTCTTTAAGATTCTCCATTAAAATTCGACGGCAACAAGCGAAGCTTTTTAAAGATACGTAAATCCATATTAGCTAAATATTCATTTCGTTTAACTGGAATATTCAACGAGTAGAAAAATCGATTAAAGCCGCGTCGCGTTTGCTTTAAAATTAAACGAAAAGATAATTTCTCGTCGCTCAGACGCGATATCACCTTTAAATCGTCCTCCGGGAATAACGAAAGTGTTATTCACATAAATCAAGCTGTGTCGTTGCGGGTTGATCATCACGTCATCCCTTATCTTTCTCGCTAGCGTTTTCCAAATATAATTTAAACGTTTCGCCCACTCACGAAACTGCGGATCTTGTATGACTTTCAGGATGTCCGGATTCTCCTTCCAATCCGGCAATGTTGAGTTATCCAGTTCATCTTGCATGGCAAAGTTCTCGCTGACGTAAGTAGCCACCTCAGAGCGATTAGGCGAGTTGTTGGTTATTTTCATCAAGGTATTGAAACTAGGACAGTTCGAATCGAATGAATTGATTCGAATTTATTGGATCTTTACAGGTTCGTTTAACGAGAAAAAAATATTTAGTTTTATAATATTTCCGTAAAAAGTAAAATGAAGAAATTTTATTTCTTTTCTTTCTTTATAATACAATATTACCAAGAAGCTTTTTATTCGACAAATACACTATACTTATTATCCTTTAAGCTGTTCTTAAAGTTCTTAAAGTATTAATTTTAATGCATTAATTTTAATGCATGTCCTTAAAGTATTAATTTTAATGCATTTTGCGTTGTTTGATAAAGCGATATTTATCATCTAAACGGCACAGATATTTGTCATTCAAACACGCGTTATCTTGTAATGGGAAACTTGATAATGATTTATATGATAATTATTTATGTGATAGTAAATTTCTGATAATTCACTGCAAATACGGTTTATTAGTTTATTGGTTTATTAGTTTTGGTTTATTAATTTATTGGTTTATTAGCAAATACGGTTTATTAGCCGACAAATTTTTGTATATTATGTATATTATATATTACATATTACATATTATATATTATATATTATACATTATACATTATATATATTGTATATTATTTATTACATATTATATATTATATATTATATATTATTCTTATAATTTATAGAAGTCTGCGGTTTTGTGATAAGCATAAATATCTGACCTCATCAGATCTCTACTCATTTCTTCCTTCATATTTATTCAGCTGTTATATAATATTTTACGAGGTTACCCAGATTATGTAACGCATTTGCAGAAACAAATCTGCCCGCGAATCCGATAATGTCGTGTGCGGTTATAGATTCTCGGAAAATAATCCCAATATGCGTACTCACATACCCGCTCGTTATCGTCGCTGTTATCGCGATCGGAATAAAAGTCACGAAGTTCGATGCGAGAGATCATAATCCCGCAAGGCGAAAAGAAATCCGTAAAGGGTGAACGAAAGCGGGCGTAACGTACAACGATGTATATACGCGATGCCGTAAAACGGAAACCATAAATATCTCTACACGGGAAGCGATTTAACGCGGATGAATCGCGCGGAGAGAGTCGTGTGCGGGGGTGGCCGAGACAGATTTACTCGCGGCACGAGTCCATTAAAGAATCGAAACGATCGTCCCTGACTCATCTTCATTGACACACGCGTAGTAAAATATTCCACGCGATAGTTGACGCCAAGTCTGACGTCATTTATAAAACGCAATATGTTGCAGAAAAAGATATAGATAATCGCGAACGGAGCATTTCGCTTCAAATGTTATTTTATATCGCAATTTCTGCTGAGATCCTCAAACACATCGATAAGATAAAGATTGATTGTTAAACGCGAATAAAAATCGAGATAAAAAAATTCCTGAAGGGAATTCATGCATCTCATGGCGTACGAGTAAAAAGTATCGATATTGCTGAATTTAATTTTCAATTTGCCTGCCAAATATATCGTGATACATCATGCATGTCGGTGAAGTAAAGCTACGTATTTGCTCTCAGCTGCCGTCACGCGATTAAGATCCCCTTCATACGAGCGACCACGGAATTTGATTACGTATCGTACGAAGCGACAACCTCGTACTCTTCCGATCCAAATGACGTATTTATGGCCGGATCGAACGCGAAATTATGGAAACATATCGAGAGACTATGGCATTTTCGAACGATTCTATTATTTCGCTGCAATAATAAATCATTTTTCGACTTTAATATATGACTGAAGAAAGCTTTATATATTTTATCTCAAAAGGAGAAATAATTGCTTTCGCATAAAACTAAGAAGTGGCAAAGAGAGAGGAAAAGAACTTGTAAAAATTAAAATTAAATTATCTGTTATTAAACTAAAATTAATCAACTAACCTAATTATCTATAAAACTTAATTATTTGTATCGTATTAAAATTTTTATTTAATACGCAATATTTTTTGAAATTGATATCTTATCTATTGGATAGCTATTGCTTGTTTTCTTATTCCTCCATGTTACTTTTTATCAAAAATACTTATCATGTTTAGATTCATTTTATATTATTTTATATTATTAAAAATATTTTAAAAATATTAAAAGAGAGAAAAGTAAACTAAACATATTATATTAATTTATTCAAAAAGGAACTGCTTTGTCTCTTTCCTTTTTCCTCTTTTCAGCCAACATATTAAAATGCACCACCTCGTTTCAAAGCTTTACGTTTTGCTTTATTAAAAATAATAGCGGATTATTTAAATAATAGGGATTACGCATGAGACATAATGTTTGATGTATTCTGATGGAGCTTCATGATTATTGAAAATTTAAATTACAATATTTTGGCGTGAAAGTGTGAATGCAAATTTGGAAAACGCGTGCAATCATTGAAATCGTTTCTGAATATCGATATAATGCTTCGAGGAATTAAATATTCACCTTTTTTATTTTCTCTCTCCAGCTTTTTATCCTTCGGCAAATAAATATATATAAATATAAATTACTTAAATCGACGCAAGACGTTTTAAAAGATGAAACTTATTTTGCGACAGCCATAGAAAATTCAGCGAGAAAATCCGATGCATTAAGAAAGATTGCTCGCGAAAAGGTAGAAAAGTACTTAACAAATTTCTATCTTATATGATTCTGAAAGGAGAAAAAGAGGAAAAGAGAAAAATCAAGCTCGTTATATTGTTCGATTCGCCTTTTCTACAACTGACATCAACTTACTTGTTTACAGTTACATCCGGATCGTGAAGCTGGTAAAGATCCACGAAGGTTTTGCTGTCGTTAAATATCCCGGCGAGCTGCACCGTTTTCAGCAAAGGCCCCTCGCAATAAACCTTGCTGCAAATCAATATAATCGCGTGAGATGGATAACGGGAAAATGGGAAAGTGTAATTAACAAACATCGTCAATTAGGCTCGATAAAAATGATTATCCAATCACGCGCGTTTCTACATAACAATGTTTGTAGTACGTGATGCCGTGCGTTCGACAGGCCGGCAACAGCTAAATTAATAGATTTTGTGGAATTGTATTTGATGCAACTGTACTAACAATCGCGTATTAAAACACTGGCGTAGTCATTGAATCTTCTGAAAAAAATGCGTCTCTCAGAGAATAGAGATAGCAGAGTTTAATATTAAATTAAATACCGTCACGCGACAATAAGCTCAAAATGACAATCTGTCACAAATATAATTACGTACTGATTCAATATTAAAAACTGAAGACGTTTGATTAATTTGAAGTTCAAAGGAGTGTATAAATAATGAAATTCTCTTTCTTCAAAATATCAGGTTCGTAATAAAAATGCTCTGGATCATATTATATATTTTCTTGAAAATAACAACTTTTATGTGTACTGTCTATTTGTCTTTCAAGCAGACTGCATATTTAAACAAAGGAACGGTATGTTCTTTGCGGTCGTAAATTAAAGGCTAAATAATTAACGAAATTAAGGCGCACAATTTGCATTTACTTATTTAAGAGTCATGCATTACATAAGAGGCATTATCGTTGAAATATTTAGCTATTTAATATTATCTTAATATTTTCGAAATTAATTCCTTTATACGATAATAGCAAGAGAGAAAGAGAGAGAGAGAGAAAGAAAGAGAGAGAGAGAGAGAGAGAGAGAGAGAGAGAGAGAGAGAGAGAGAGAGAGAGAGAGACGAATGATACACATATTTACTTTATTTTAGAAAATTAAATTTTCTTCAAATTGAAATCAAATCCGAGATATTTCAAAATGTTAACTTTAATTTATTTAATAAATAAATTAAATTTAATAAAAATAAAATGTATGAGTAAAAAGTTTTAATTACACATCACAAAAATTATTTTCGACCGGCTAATGTTGAAAATAAGAAACTTTTAACGGAATAATACTTTCCAAGTTTTTCGCCCTAAAGGAGAAAGTCAACTTGAAATTTATATTATACAATCCGTGGCTAACAAGAGATACTCGTTCGATCTAGAGAACTCTTACATGCCCCTTTTTACCGTTGTTTAGAAAACTTTTTCAATCAACTATATCTTATCTTAAGATATCAAACATCGATATATTTGTCAACGATGACCAAGAGCCTGTCTTAGCAACTGTGAGAGTTATATATCCGAGTTTAAGCGAGATGACAACTTTAAGTGAAACTCGGAGACTGTTATTTTTCCTCGACAGTCACGTCGACATTGACGTCGATCCGATGCGAAATTCCTGTTTCCTGAAACCGACGGGCCATAAAATAAGCTAAGAAAGTTGCATAGCTGAAAAGCGGAACGGGAAGTTGCGCGCGGCCTTTTGTCTTCATGACGACTACGGAATCGTCGAAGCATAATGAACGCTCCGTCTTCGTTCCGACGTGAAACTCCATCGATACACGAAAGAATGATGCCTTCCTTTTGCCGATATCTCGATCGAAAGATCATCAAGAGAGACAAGAAACAGAGAGAAATAATAAAATCCATCACACGAGATCAAACCCTAAAAATCCCGAAAAGTTGACACGCTCCAATTTCGAGATTCGCAAAATCTTCAATTTCGCGACAGTTTTTGACATCCAAAGACTCTCTCTCCATATTCGATGTTTGAGCGAAAAGATTCGATGATATTGAATGCTTCTTATATAAACGGAGAACTAGACGATTTTCGACGTCAAAACCGTTCTCCTAAAACGTCTTTTGAGGAGAAAAATATTTAATCTTCTGAGAAAAATAGTTTATAGCTTGTTCAAAATAATCACATCTACATTTTTTATATATTATATATAAGAAGAAATGGCGGATCAGTATTCGTTATTTATTTTTTCTCCTATATAAAAAAAATATTTAATATATAAAAGAACATTTGAATACATTTTTACATAAATACGTGTAATAAAAATGTGTTCAAATATTCTTTTATATATTAAATATCTTTTTTATATAGGAGAAAAAATAAATGACGAATATTGATCCGCCATTTCTTCGCTGTTTTCTAGATTATTACAAGGGATGAAAACAGCATGCAATTTACTTTGGGTAACTTCCTTACTCTGCAAGTGTCTCTAATTAAAAAAGTTTACAATCGATTATCCACTGACGCATTTTATCCTTAATTTATCCGACACGATCGTCCAAAGTAAATAGAAAAATACTCTACTTTTTACGTCACGAACATGGCTTATTTTTGTTAAGGATGCTGTTAGAATCATTCGCTTGTCTTTCATTTCAAGTGATTTGTATGAGTAAGTGAGCCTTGTCGATATGTCTTAACCCCATCGTTTGTTCAGGCCTGTCCGATGAATCGAACGAAGGGCGTTTCCTGTCCGTGGCTGTACCATAATGGGAATTTGATGGATTAAAGGAGACGAGGAATCGAGAGAACTCGGAATTAAGGAATCGAGAGTCGGAAACTGTAAAGAGATACTTTTCGTAAACGGAACGTTTTTCTCATCAAGGAAAATAAAATCCCATTAACGGATACTTCACATGTTTCCCTTCTCGAGTGGACGAAATTTTGGTTACGAGAGTATGGATGAAATTTTCATGAAGTCAGAAAGTTTCGCGTTTACTCTTGACGTTCCTGACAATCCACATCTTTTTTTCATCGAATTTTTAAATATAAAGAACCGATCTTATCAAGTGACTTTTGTTTCTTTCTGCACGAAGTATAATTACATAATTGAAATACTTATAGACTATGCATATTCATAAAACCATATATGCATATTTTTAAAAACCACCATTTTTTCGACATTTTTATTATAAATTTTTATTATAAATTTTTATTATAAATATTTCTCCAATATTTTTACTATTATAATTATATTAATTGATTGATACTGATAAAATTCAAGAAGAAGTTTAAATTAAATTGCAATTTATTAATCGACGTTAATGAAATGACAGATTATCGATGTCCTTACTCATCGCGATAAGTGATTGATAAACCGTTCAATATACGAAGAAACTCACTCAAACTGTCATTCACAATTCTAGCGATGCATTCTAGCTGTTATTCCTAAAATTGGCAAAGTTAATGACGATATAAGCGACTGGTTATCGAGCTACAGATAAGCCGTTCGGCCACAAAAATTTCCGGAATGACTCGTTGATAATTTTCAATTTTATCCAACATGCAACAATAAATGTAGTATGATTATAAGAATGGAATGACAGATTTAAAATAAATTTCCTTATGGGAAGTTAAATAAGCTGCATCAATATATGTATTACAATAATTAATATTGTTATCTGACAGCCTGTTTTCGAAAGAAGCAAATATAAAATTTCTCTGTGTTTCATTAATGTATGCTTCATTAATCACATTATCGTATAATTAAGCAAGACTAGTGGGATCCATAACTTCTGTTTTCCTCAATAATAATTCAAATGTGCTCGTATAATTAATTAATTCTATAATTGTCGAATAACAATCGCTAACCAATCGTATCATATCACTATTTTTTGATTATTCTCATTAAGCTATAAAAGGAAGAACGAAAGTAATCGGTTTGATCAACCAAAAGTAGTAAAAGATACATATTAGAGAGAAGCAGAACGAGAAGCTCAAGAAGTTATCCTTCTCATTGCGTTCTTTCAACAAGAAGTGCTACAATCTCTTGGAGACAATAGCGAAAGTTTCACCTGCTGTCAATAAGGCGACCAACGAGGGATCACTAAAATAACTAGACTTACTCGGAGAGTTACCCAGGAGACTGCATCAAGATTAATTTACATCGACTCCCTGTAAATTCGCTTTGTCATTCAAAAAGATGTTGGAAGCTCAAAGTGGCTTTGAAATAATTTGAACAATAGACGGTGATTTCCTTTTCATCAAAGATCAAGAGAGGAGAAAAAGTTGCAAGGATTGATATATGCTTTGTATATATTTTGCATTTGTACTTTCTCTTTGAATATCTTTCGATATAAAAGATATTGAATATTGCATTAAAGGGGATAAAAACTTGCGAACATTTTTTTTAAAAAGAAGCAAAAACGATCGAATCGTTGCTTCTTCTCTTGATTCGTAAAGCTTGAGTCTCGATCGCGAAATGAAGCGAGAACGATCGCGCGTTCGCTCCTCTCGCTGGTTCAAGAACTTGTACACTTTCACTCACCTGTCACAGAGATCCTTGGGCCCGGAGGAGTCATCGTTGCGATACACGATCGAGGCCGCGTCGCTCGAGGCGACCGCGAGGGAGACGATCAGAGCCAGGACGATCATCGTCGATGATCGATCTCGCGATCTCGATTAGGATCCTTCGATCGAGCGAACGCGCGCGCGATCAGCGAAAAATCCGAGATCTGTCTCCTTCTCGTGCCCCTGGGACCGGCGTCTCGGGCACTATAACCGAGAGTGAAAAGTTGCGATCGGTTATATCTGCGTCGCACGCGCGCATGTTTGCCGATAACACGCCGTTCGGCGAATAGGCACTCTCCCTCGATTAGCTGCTGATTACGCACATCGTGTATGTAAATTTCGGGCCAACAGCTCGCATCACCGATATATATGTGTGTGTGTACGCGTGTGTCTACCGTTTATCAAACAAGAAAGATAAGTGCTAAAGGGTCGATAACGGTAAATAATGTGGATCAAGGAAAGGAGAGACGGAATTATCATTAAGACAACATTATTGATCGCGTAAAAGTGTCATAAGGTGTACGTCTGTGCAAAATATATGATTCTGATGTAGATATCTTTTTCATATTTTTAGAAGATTTAATCAGACATTCTTAGAGGAAATGTGTGTGTGTAAGATTCATTTATCTCGACTTATTTATCTCTTTTCTATAAGAAAATTTATCTTGAAAAAAATCACTACACACGTATAGATTCATAGTATCAAAGATTCGTATTCGTAGTATTACAGATTTGATCTTATTTATCAAGATAAAAAGATAAAAATTTATTTGACGATAACGTGTTGAGAATAATAATATTTAAATTGTTATTCTTTTATCAAGTTATCGGCAAGTAATATTGTCAATTATTATAATTATTTTTAAAATTAATTTTTTATTAATTATTTATTTTTAAAATTAATTGTTTATTAATTAATGATATTTAAAATTATTTTTAAAATTATTAATAAAAATTTCAAACTCTCTCTAGTGTGAGATATATAGTTACATAATTTTTCTTTTACTTGAGTTAAATCTGTTTTTTACAATTTTATGTCAAATATATTCTAAAAAAGATGTAGAGACTACTTGGAATATGTTATTGAGAACAATTTAATTTAAGAATAATTATTATGAAAGTTAATTAATTAATTATTTTGAAAATAATTTTTTCTAACATTTTATAGTATTTTTCTGCTTTGTCATAATCTATCATTTGCCCGGCAGAAACACAGAAAAAAGATCGTCTCTTTAGGAATTTCATCAGTGATTGAAGAATACTATTATAGACCTGAGAAAGGTCAAAGGTCTATAATTCGAATGAAATTCGAATGCCTTGTACGAGATATTGAAACACAACGAAGCTCGACAGGCCGGTTCACGCTCCTGGGAATATACTCATGTATGGGAAAGACCGACGAGATCGGAGGGAGAATAGAGAGAGCGGACGAATGAAAAAGTTAATTGAACGAGTAGTTTCCTTCTCATACGACAAGGATAGCAAATCATTGTACGTTTTTTTATTTTCCTTTTTTTTCGAACGCATATTTACATAATACAGAGACGAAAAAAAAAAGAGGTAAAAAAGTAACGCTATGCATGTAATAATCCGTGGCAGCTGAGATTACCATAGCTTTATAACAAAATGTAGCTCTTTTTGTTTGTTTAGTTGTACTTGCGATATAACTCTCTTTAGAATCATTAAACTTGGTGCAAACCGCTGTTCCTCTGTTGCAAAAAAGTTACAAAGTTTGTGTACAGTACATTCGCAATCAGTGGCCCGAATTAAACGTAATCGAGTTCAGTGTTTTTTGTAACCGCTTTCTAATTTATGTGACAAAAACATCGAGATTTTTTATGAGATCCAACGCAGTCTTCTAAAAATATATATATATATTTTTATTAAATTAAATTTAATTATTTTTATTAAATTAAATTATTATTTTTATTAATTTGAATGAATATTCTCAATAAACATGTAAATTTTAGTATAGAGAGATTTTCTTGCAGCTTTTTTGCACATCAGGTTTTTTGATGCATAACAATTTCATCAGATATTTTTCAGATATTCCGTAAACAATTTTATATAATTATTCTGATCTCCTCTCTCTATTTCCTCTAGAAATTTTAATCATTTATAATTAAAATTCGACAAAGTTTCCATTTCTTTAGGTACGCTTAGGAATTTTGATTTTCTTCAGGCATCACCTGATGCGGAAAGCGGAAGTATGCGAGTATCAGCTTAATTAAAAATAGCGAAGCAAAGTCGCGTGAATTAAAGCGACCGATAGTGCCAAATAATTATTTGTACGAGACAACCTGTTTTTGCGATAAAAAATGCGAAATTCGTAGATATACGAGTGATTCATGCGTATCCTATCTTATCCCTACGCACATGCGTGCCGTGCATATCATACATCCTGTAACATCGCACACTCGTATATTCTTGTCAAGTTCGTTGCGATAATCACTCATTTTATATCCTTTTACAATATTTATTTAACCTAGACACGATTGTGCCTATAAGAGGTGCGATTTCGTTTTTAAGATTTTCGTTTACGTTCGATTTCGAATCGGAGAATGACAGTGTCACTCGAGAAGGATCCTCATTAAGCTTCGGAGCTTACAATTTAAACTATTTAATTAAATTTTAATTATTTAATTAAAGGGAAAGGGAGGAATTTGATGGTTTATAATAATATTAGGTTTGAAGCATCCGAAGATATACGGGCTCTCTGTTGCGACATACGATATGTATAGACTGTATACAGAGCTAAATTGACCTTCGCTCGATGGATATCGGGTCCATTCGGACCCATCTCTGTTGAATGTCAACCGTCAAAGCGTCAATCGTCGTTTGTTTTATCCCTTTCCCTCTTCTCCCCAGGATTGCCTGAAACAAAGGCCGAGTGATGCTTTGACGGTTGACACTTGGCGGAGATGGGTCCGAATGGACCTGATAGATAATGGTTAAGCAATATTTTAACTTTCAATTAAATTAAAATAAATAATTTTCAATTCGCCAATTTTTATAACTGTATATTGTGCGGTTCTTTCGTTTGCCAAAATGTTTGCTTTCGACTTCAACTCGAGCCCGTACTCATCAGCTACAGATCATCCGTTACTATCTGTTTATCATCCACGCGAATTTACAATTTTAAATGCGCTAAAATAATCCCGAATTCACGTATCTTATTTGCAACTAGAGCGAAATTGAATATGGATCGCTGTAACATTATTCTTCACATTGCGATATGCAAACGCCAAACTAGTTTTCCACCGCCTTTCCTAGAAATGATAAAGTTTTTTAAAAACTAATCTATATTCAGGCGCACACATGAGCTCCAATTGTAAATTCGTTGCATTGTTTCATTTAACTGGAATTTAAGAAGATAAAAAAAAACGCAATAATTAAACCAGATCAAATTTCCTCGTTTGTAAAGAGTGTACTCCTCGCGATTAATTACGCCCGTTAAATATTTCTACAGCGCCTTTGACGTCCCTTTGAAAAATGTAGCCGCTCATCTTTACGGTGATCCGAAACTTACTGCCTCGTGTTTTACAACTTCTCCTTTTTCAATTAAGCTGTTACAGTTCGATAAAGTAACTTTGTGAAATACGGCGAAAAATTTGCTGCTACTACTACATCAACGAGATGGTGAAACGCTTCTGAAAAGCGCGGCTTCCAAATCGTTTTGACAGATCTAATTCTGCATTTTCGGCTCAACGTTTCTGACGTATTTTCAAAATCCACGCTAAATCCCTAGATGAAAATATACGGCTTCGAATATTTAGCACTATTGAAATCGGACAGCTCGATTCGATCGAGATCAATGATAAATCGCCTTTTGAATAAATGAAACCGCGAGATTAACGAATAAATAGCGAGCGTGATATTAAAAAGAAAAAAAAAAACTCACCATCGCTGTAGGATATAGCCGCGTGGTTTCAATGGACCCCAGGGAGGCGTAATGCCCCCTGCAGCTGAGAGAAATTCAGGACATGGCTGGATATTGGCCACTAATCATCGTTAATGCGCACGCTCTGCTTCCGCGAACCCTCCGAATATATTTGCTTAAAAGCTTTCGAGGAAATGCGAGGCCTACCTGCATAGGCTATCGTAACGTCAAAGTAATGAGATACGTGCCGTAACACGTTATTACAACGCCAACGTCTTACGTGACGCCCCGACATCGAGTATTATCTTGTTTAATGCTGCACTTAATGCTCTGCATTTAACGCTGTATAAATAGCCTCCCATTATCCGTATCGCGTAAAAATCGTCTTCTCTCTCGAGGAAGAATCGGACGAGCTTGTATGCAAGAGGGTAAATTTCATCAACAGTTCCTTGTTCGTTTCGTTCACGAGAGAGGAATAATTTCAAGTCAAAACACGAGGGAATAATTATATAAATATATGTATTATCTTGCGGGCGAAATACGAACTTTGATGATTAAGGTACAGCCGAAATGTAACATAATCATCCCTACGAATTTCCATAACGTTTAAATACTCGTTTGCAGCGAGCACGAAGCGACTTTACGGCTTTAATGACTACGTGATGTACGATGTCGCGAATAAAAGACGAAAGGATGAAGCAATAAGAAGGACGACGGAGTCAAAGGGCAGCATAAAATCGTTTTCGTTAATCGCGACTTGGAGAACGGCTCTGATGAGATCGGAGCTATAAAAATCTCAAACACCGTGGGTGTTAATTCAACGTCGCGACGAACGTGAGAACGAAATTGCGACACTCGGTGGAATCAGCTTATCTAATTATTGCCGGAAGAAGAACGGATTTTCTCCTTCACGAAAATTATAGAAATCTCGACTCGACTGACAATCAAAGCCCCGGCTATCGATTCAACACGTACACGACAGCATCCAGCCAACTCGGGCTGGCAATTCGGATTGTTTCTCTCCCTCTTCCGTAATTAGCCGAGATGTATCCGCGCAAGCATAAACAGCTCGTGAATTGTAAACGAAAGGTCGAGAGTCGTGGAGAGAAAAAGAGAGGGAGGGAGGGAATCGATATGAATAATTAATGTCCAGCCAACGCGCGGAAAGGGTCGTTTGTCTTGCACCACAATCGATATCCCCTAAGTACGAGTACTCCGTTCCGTTAATTCGATGAAATTTTAACGAATTCGCGTCACGTGCTCGTGGGAAAAAATCGCGTCGCCTTTTTCGGGCCACCCTTTTCGGAGATGCCTGCGCGTTGCCGAGTGCGAGAAGGAGATTTCGGATGCT